TGCACATTGTTGCTATTGCCGTGTGCATTGTACATTTATGTGTTATGTGTAAGTGTTAGTAGTATTTTGGTCCATTTCTTGTGCAATAGCCGTGCAAATGTTAGTGGGCGGAGTGTCCAAGCTCTTTCCCTTCGAGTGTCGTGCCCAATGTGTTGAGATTCTCCCAACATTATTCATGAAAGCCGTGCGAGTGTTTTGTCCAAGATGCTCCCCTCCTTGTCCTCTTGTGCCATGGGAGTTTGTGTTGGAGTGTAGTGCTTTTGGCTCCATTATCTCCACTCCTTTCAATTGCCGTGCGTATGTTGGGGGTTTTTGTCCACAAGCTTTCATCTTCTTGTAACAAGTTCACGTGAATATATGAGGCCAAGAGGGAGTTGAGCATGCTTGCCAAGTGTTCCAAGTTTTTGGGTGCATGAATGCTAAGTGTCCATGACCTCTCCCCACATCATGTGCATTCGGTTTTTATAAGTTGGCCTTGGGGGAAAGTTGTTTCATTTTTTCTCCGCCTATACTCACAAGTGCCGAGAGATAGAGAGATATAGTGAGTGCATTGTGGGAGTTGGGAGTGTTGTTCGGGAGAAATTACCGAGAGTATTCCGCACGCCGAGGGCCATCGCGCATCCAATCCGTCGCTACCGTACGCGAGCAGCATCCATCGTACGCGAGCAGCACTCGTACGCGAGCCGCGAGCATCGCCCGCGCAATAGCAGCACGCCGGTGATCCGAGTACGCAACGCACGCAACGCATCACTCGCACGCGGAGTTCATCACGGCTGAGAGCACGGGAGTTCGAGTCGTTTAACCTCTTGAGCTTAATAAGAGGTAAGCTCCCGTCGACATTTGACCGAGAGTATCATGTTTATGAAGATTAGATTTTATATGGTCATGCATGCGTGTTATGTGCATAAGCCGTAGCCTTAGCCGTGCCTAATATTATCATGTTATGATTTTATTCGAATTCTTCGAACTTTCTTGCATGCTTAGTTTTTATGTGCAATATCACGTTTAAATTAGCCTTAATGTTCGGATGATATTTTCACGTTTGAAGTGTTCGGCCGAGGGTAACGTGGTTGCGCACGTAGAGCACCACGGGTCGTGCTTGCACGCTCATATATGTTAAGTTATTTTCGCCGAACTATCCTTGCATGTTTAGCTTTTATATGCAATATCATGTCTAAATTAACTTAAGTGTTCGGACGAATTTAGTCATTTTGATGGAGTTGGTCGAAGGGGTGTGGTCGCACACTTAGTGCGCACCACGGACCGCTCTCGCATGACATTGCATGTTATGTTTAAACCTTCGACCATTATGAGTTATCATGTTCAGCAAGTCATGTTTAAATTTTATTAAATTCGAATTGCCGAGAGATTATGTGATTTGGTCGAAG